GAGTACTATCAAGGAAAATAAAGATTTTTTTAACAAAAAAAAAAAAAAAAACAAAAGATGCCTCAGGGAACAGACCTCTAAATGAATGCAAATGGGACCCTCCAAGTAAAAGGAAGAAAATTTCATAGGTACTATGAAATTAAAAAATTTATGACCAAGAAAAAAAAACTTATGAAATTAGATGAAAAAACCAGGAGGTAAAGAGATTGCATATATTCTCTTATGACCTTTTTCAGGGTCAATAATTGCAGGCAGCGCCGCAACGGGATCTTCAATTATTGTCTTTCTTCTTCCTTGCAGGTGGGACCTCCAATTCCATATACAGGGAAGAGAATTCCACTTGCTAAGTGAGAATAAAAAAAAAAAGTTATTTTAGTCTATACCTTAAATTTTAGTTTAATTAATTAATTAATTTAAATTATTTAATCCAAGAAAATGGTAGATGAAGTAACAAAAACGATAAAAAAAAAAAAACAAAATGGAAAGAAGCAAGCATCTTCTTCGCTTTCTTTCTAGGGTAAAAATTAGAGTTGAAATATGAAAATAGGGATGCCAAGTTTACCTGTATACTCCCTTTTCCTTTTTTTTTTTGTGTGTGTAAATAGGAATATTATAAATTAAATCGAGTCTTACACATCATCGTCCGAAACAATACAGTTTCAGCCCTATCAAGAGTGAACTTTGTCTTACAAATATTAGGAACAACATCAAAAACAACAAAAGGTTCCTTCATATGGTAGCTGCAAATTTAGCCAGTTTATCGGTAACTTCGTTGGCCTACCTGTACACACCCTCTATTGGAGGAGTTTTGAGCTGCAAAACAGCTTGCAACCAATGACTTTTAGGGGTTAATTAATTAAAAATTTTGAAGGGACTAAATGAATAAATTACCTGTTATCATTTGATGGTTTTGAAAATATTTAAAAATTCTATCCCTATATATATAAATATAAATTTATTTATATATAAATTTTATATATTATACTTACACAAAATTTTAATTATTTATTTTTCAACTTTTAATAATTGAGATTCATTTTTTAACTTTTAATAGTTGAAAATGTATATGGGTTTCAATAGGAGTTAATTGATAATATATATATGGATTTGAGTATTCATTGTCCTCACTTAATAAAATCTTTTGCTTTTCAAAAAAAAAAAAACATTTAATGGTTGAGATTCATTTTTCAACTTTCAATAATCAAGATTTATTTTATTATAATTTTTTAAATAAAAAAATATAAATATTTTTAATAAATATGATAACTATTATTAACAAAAATCGTTAAATACCTCAAAGATTTAACATAATAATTCATAAAATTACCTTTTCATTTGCTAAAACTATTTTAGTAGTCAGTTGGTTTTTATCATGTTTGAAACTAAAAGCATTCTACAATCTATATATTTGCACTTTAATATTTCAATCTTCTTTATTGAGTAAAAGTTGATCAAAAAATATATATTTCATATCTTTTGCAATTGATTTACCCTAGATTTTTTTAAAATTTTAGTAATAAAATATTTCAAAATA